ACTGGTTTTTTAGCTTTGGGAAAAATATCCACAGTATGAGCCGCTCCCCCAACGTCTACCTGAGAAGATAACGATGCTGTAAATGTTTATTACAACATTTATTCCACCAATCACTGCAGGTGGAGTCGTTTTTTGTTTTTTGTTTTTTTACTTTTACTAAACTAAGAAGAACACACGGATTCATTCTTGCTGGAATATATTTACAAATGTCACAGTGTTGTTGTCATGGTGTCGCTCCTACAGCAGCTATAGCATGTGGCAGCCAGTTGCCCCATGGGTATTTTGCACAAACACACGGTAAAACAAGCACGCATGCCCGTCCTCAACACACACCTGTAAACATATACTGTGTGCTGGTTTATCACCGACGTCTGCACCGCTCATCACATCCACCATTCCTCCACCAACCCTCCCCCCTCACCCCTCCACCCTCCAATCCATACACACGCACACGCACACACACACACACACACACACTGCCTCCCTGATGCTGTGGCCTGTCAGTAATTGAGGGAAGCTGGCCGGAACAGTGTGAAGATTGGGGGAAGGGATGAGGTGAGAGGAGGGGGGAGAGAGGGGAGGAGGTGGAAGCCATTCATCTGAGACTCTAGGATGTTGAATGGCATATTACAAGTCTAATGTATAATTAGATAGAGAGGGAATAAGCTGTGTAGTCTCAGATTAAGAAAACGCTGTTGTCACAGTGCCATCTACTGGTTGAGGCTTCTGCGGCTGAACCAAGGAAATACAACAATTGTTTTTTTCTTTTCTTACCCAAAACAGTTCAGTCAAACTATATCCATTACACCTGTCCTCTACATTCTTGGCTTCTTGGTTCTTGGTGAGGTAATGTGAATATTCTCTGACGTAAATGCCTTAAAATTTGATATTTGTCGGTAACTGACAACTGGGCAGAAGCAACTTCTTGTGGTTGCATGTTCATTATAATAAAGTGCTGGTGTGTAACGAGAGATCCAGGCTTCCTCTTCCTGCTCCCTGACAACAGGTGTTCAGTCCAGACCTGTCGGAGACAGGTAGATCACATGACAGGAAGTGGCTGCAGATCGTATGTCTGTAGTAAACACGAGGAAAGATACCATCTGAGTGAGGAGTGTTTGAGTTTTGTACGTGACAACTACAAACTTCACATACTAAAATATGTTACGTTTATTTTAGCAGAAATATAATATGATGTAAATGTTTACTTTTTTGTTTTGTTTGTTTGTTTGTTTGTTTGTTTTACTTACCCTGTCTATTTAAACGGTAACTGAAGGCTCCTGCAGTTTCCTCTCAGTTTGGATGAGACCAGTCACATGTAACTACAACGTGTCATTTTTACCACCAGATGTCGTTAAATGTCACATGGTTTACTTTTTTTTTATTGTTACTGTTTTGTTATGGCATCTAAAAACACTCACAAAGATCACAAATCTGAGAGCTGTACTGATTAGAAGGACCAAATGTTGTGATAATAGTTACAGTGATGTCCATTAACAATATATGAGTTTTTATATAAAATTAAATGATATGAATGTGTTGCATTCATGCTCTAACTTTATATATTTAGTGTTAAGTGTAAAAAATATAAATAAAAGGTCACATGAATATTGGACTTGTTTATTTTTACTGCCCAGCATGTGTGTGTGTGTGTGTGTGTTCAAGCATAGGAGGATGTCCATGTGTGGGCACACTCCTCTATCGTTCTATTACATGGACCAGTGACTGCGCCATCTCTCTGGTCTCACCCCTGCGCTCCCCCAGACACCTCATATTGCCCAAAGGGATGGTGTTGATGTAGGCGGTAGAGAGAGGGAGGAGAAGGAGGGAGGAGAAGGAGGGAGGAGAAGGAGGAGAGGGAGGAGGGGGAGGGAGGAGGGGGAGGAGAGGGAGGAGAGGGAGGAGGGGGAGGAGAGGGAGGAGAGGGAGGAGGGGGAGGAGAGGGAGGAGGGGGAGGAGAGGGAGGGAGGATAGGGAGGGGGGAGAGGGAGGGAGGAGAGGGAGGCGACTCCACACACATCTGTCACAGAGCAACTTAAAAAGAACAACCAACGACCCTTCCTGCTCTCTGTCCACTTCACTCCCTAATTTTTCCACAGTCAGTGAATTTTTTTAATGAAATTAGAGTCTGATTTAAACGCTTTTATAAATATGAAAAAAAAATTGAAAGCCCACCAGGAAAACAACATGGCTGCCACTTTTAAAAACATAGTAAACAAATGTGTATGTGAGATACAGCATTGATGACATCAGCTTAAAAATCCAGGTGTAGTTTTTTGTTTATGTTTATGTTTTGTCTTTGATATTTGATTTTTTTTAAATAAATATATATATTACTTTTAGAACCGTTAATGTTTCCTTTAGTATTCATGGAATGCATACAGGTGGTGGGGAAAAATATGACGGTTTAAAAAAAAAGTGTGCGGGTTTAACCAAGGACCAATTGTGCCCCCTGCTGGTCAGATGCAATCCAGAGGGTGTTTTTATGGCTGGTATAGAATAGAATGCCTCTATTGTCGTTATACTTTCAGTGCCGTTCCTAATACGGTGCAAGAAGCAGTAATTATATACAGAGATATAAATATAAAATAAGTCTAAGTAAAAATATACATGGATGACAAGGTAATGTACAGATTACTGTGACAGTGATACATTGGTCACCGGAGAGAGTCTGGTCCGTGCATGTGGGAGTTCAGGGCGGTTACAGCTTAGAAGAAATCTATTTGTCTTTGTTTTAATACACCTGTAACACATACCAGAGGGTAACGGGTCAAACAGGTCACAGCCCAGGTGTGAACTGTCTTTGATGGTATGGGCTGTGTTATTTTTACACACCCTGTGTATGCGTACAGTATGCGTCATGTGATTAAAGTAATTCACATCACTGGAGTTGGTTTCTCTTTCTGTTAAACAGGACAATAATCAGGTGGTTGAACATTTAATAATATTTATTTACTGGACAAAGTCAGACTTTTCACATTTGTTGTCTTTCCACACCCTAAAACAAACATCCACTCAAATGATCCTGGAGTTCGAGATCTCATCACCTTATACCATTCAAAAAAAACAAGGAAAATAAGGAATTTATACAGATTAAATGTATTCCTAATTTTACTTTCTGTTGCTACATTTGTTCTCATTTCTTTTGTTGTTGTTTTTCATGTCTCATTCACTAGATTTTAAGTGATCGATATGACTGATATAGAGAGTGTTTCCTGGATATTGTTGTGGATTATTTGTGTGGAGGGAGTTTCTGTGTCAGGGCACATTATTAGCCTCTTCTCCACACTTCCTCTGTCACTAATGGCATTTTAAGGCCTATTAAAATCTAACCACACTGCTCCTCTGCTGAGTAATCAACTCGAATCTATTCAATAAACACCCCCGCTGCACTCAACCCGTGGCAACACACAGGAAGTGTGCCTACAGCACTCTTGTCTTTAGGGAACTGGATTTATCAGCCACAGGAAATCAGCCACAGCTTTTCTACAGCAGCATCCGGATCGTCCTAACAAAAACACAAGGTGAGGAAAAACAAGAGTACGAAACTTCAGCTCTGATACAAACAGCACGAGCTCAGCTTTTTATCACAGCTGCACTTTATTACTCCATGCTGTGACATGACACACACACACAGGGTGTTGTTTTTTTTCTCCCATCTCTGACTCTCATTCATCACAGACTCTGCAGTATTGGTACTTTATAAAATCAGCAGCAGCATTATAAGAGTTATTTTGAATTTAAATGTATTCCTTTTTTTATTGTTTTTATTCAGATTTTTCTCTTTTAAATATTAACGTTTGTTGACACCACACAAAACTCACATCTGCCACACTTTGTCATTTTTATAAGCAAAATAAAACATACGTGTGATCTTATATGTCATGATGCTGCCATTTATTCTAAAAAAAAGAAAATAAATAAAAAGTAATAAATATATATATGACGTAAACTCATACTCACATTTTTTTATTATTATTCTATTTTTTTTCCGATGACGTCAACTCATACTCACATTTTTTTTATTATTATTCTATTTTTTTTCCTTCTGGCTAATCCAGGTATTACAACAAATACATAATAGCTCTGCCCAAATCTGTTGATGCGACCCTAATATAACATTTACACAAACCTAGGCTACTTTTTGTATTATACATTTAATTCTGATTATTTATTCAATTAATTTTAGTTTTTCATTTGATGTCTTTTACTAATTGGGGTAAAAAGCCTATTGTATTCTCCAATAAATATATGCATCATCTCTTCATGCTAAGCTAACATGGAAATCAGATAACAAGTCATTATTCA